ACCACACTACGACACACACACACACACACACACACACACACACACACACACACACACACACACACACACACACACACACACACACACTCTAATGCACACACACATACTGCTGCTCTTAGCTAAAGTGCTGCAGCACACCAAGGATTTCTGTAGGAGAGAGTTATTTATGTTCTGCTAGAAACTAGTTCGATGGAACACAGAGTGCATCAAGCGCCCTAGTGGAAATAAAATATAAATGAATGATATATATAATATATAGAACATATGGTCTCAGAAATATAATTTCATGGAGAATTTGCTCATTTCCCTAATTCTAATGCCTTCTAATAAATGTCTGAAACTCATAAGATACAACTCAAATCACAGTAAAACTTATATCGGTATAATCTGTGCCACTGAATAACTTTTACTAAATATGAATTCAAACTTTATATTAGATCAATTCGATTCGATTTTCCGATAATTGTTAACATACTTGTATCCACTTGCCAAAGCATAATAAACCTTAGTTAAACAGTTAAGTTTCAAAACCAAATACCCAACATCTGCTATAATGAATAGCACAATAACATTATTCTCTCTCTTTGCAATTCAGAGTCTCAATGTTTGATTACAGTGAAAATGTGCAGGTCTGCAAATAGATCTGATATTTTGAATACAAAAAATGTCCCAAATTGGGATAAATAAAGTATATATTTTCTTATCGTAATTCATCTCTCGTGTCATGGCGAGCCAAAGAAACTGTTTCTCCTGCAGTATCATCTCTGTGTTGGACAAGCTTCAGTGAGAAAATATATTTACAGATCAAAACATGGAATTGTTTATATTAGAACATCCCTGTTCAATTAACAATATCTAAGTTCAAATTCAATAAAAAAATACATTTATCCACACATTTCAATGTATAGTGTACATGTAGTCAATTGATATGGGAAATCAAAAAATGTACCAAGGAAACAGGTGTGTGATCTATTCCTTTCATTTTTCCCCTGAAGGCTGACTCTCTTTTTGTTTAATATTATCAGAACTGAGTTATCATGCAACAGCAGCAATGAAAAATAAAATGGCTGTTCATGTTTGAGTCACAACGTTTATGGCTGATTTATGAGGTACCGAGTGCTTTCACAGATGTTCTGCAAAGAGGGAATTCTGGAAAAACTCAAAATGGTACGCCTATCTCTTCAAGTCATATGTTATCTTCTACAGATTGAAACCACTTGAACAGTCACTGCAGTTTAAATCAAAGCGGAATGATGAATGTCCACTGTGCGGTAACTAACCTTTTATCAATCACCAGAGCAGAATTAATCAAAATAACTGATGGATTTACTATTTTCCCAAAGCTCACCTCTTTGGACTCGCTGCTGGTGGGTCCCAGCAGGAGAGAGTACAGGATATCTTTCCCTCCGAGGAAGAGGCGGTCCCGGTATTCATCGAGGAAGACGGCGGTAAGAGAGAGCTGGCCGTGGTGACCGCTGAAGATAGATGACCTGTTGGTGGACAGCAGGTCTGCAGAGAGAAGGGGAACATGATGAGCACACAAATATAAACATTTCCTCTTACATCACTTTTTGTCAATGCTCTTTTCACAAAACCAACATTTTTTCTTTTTAGCAACAGCACAAAAATCCAAGCAGAGAGAGCAGTGATGAGTTGAAAGTCAATATTGCAATGACACATCGTTTTTTCTGCTCCCTGAAAGGCTTCATCTCTGATGGGTTCAAAACATATTTTGACATTGAAGCCTTCGTGACTATTGGTTGTTGGACCTTGGTTTAATCATTTGACCAGGCTGCCTTTACTTTAATCTGACAGCAGACAGTATTTTTTTGCTTTATTGGAAGTGATGTGTCTCTACAGTAAAGCAATAATCCCATGAGGAATCTGCTTGTAACATCGCCTTTTGTTCCACTATCCAAATAGGATTTGTCTCCAAACGTACTATTGTTGCTGCTGTCAACACTTCATCCCTGCACATTAGAGGATGTTACCAGAAAAGATATACAGCACCACCCAAACAGGAAATGTAAAACATTACTGTATGATTCAAAAATATTTCCATAGAATTAAAATAATGCATACAAATCAAAAACATCAAACACATCAAGTATTGTTTTTGGATGTTAAGATGCTAAGGAATCTGAAAACCCCTACTGGTGCCTGAAGTGTATGAATTTATGAGCACACACACACACACGATACACACTCCCATTGTAGATAACATGTATCAGTAGGAGAGCAGGAGTCCATCTGGAGGCCTGCACCTGGCTCTCCTCTCTGATCTGCCAGAAGCTTCAAAGTCAAAAGGTTGATGCAACAACTCTGCAGGAGTGGTAGAGACAGGGTTGAACACAAGTTCAGCCAGTCACGGGTGGTACACACACACACACACACACACACACACACACACACACACACACACACACACACACACACACACACATTCAGCAAGATTGCTGCTTCAAGGCCTCCTTCCTTCAGCTTCCAAAATCTTCCACTATCTCAAACAAACTTCTGTTACAGCATGCTCCTCCCAACTCTTCAAAGACAGCTTTTTAATCAAACAAGGACGCTCCAAGTAAAGCTCTGGGGTCAGTTTTAAATGTAATTGGCTAGTGGCTATAGTAATTATTACCCAAGTGAAGGGGGAAGTCGGGTGACAAAGTATAAAGTGTTACAAAGTCCAGAGAAAGTCAGAGTGGATGGACAGACCAAACAAACAATTTCACCCATGAGACCACTTTCCATGTCCTGTGTCAAACCAAAACAATGGCTTAGTTTAACTTATGTACGAAAGTGTACTTATGTACCTTACTTTCCTTTTTCTCGTACCTAACCACAGCTACTTAACACAGGTATTTAAACCTTGACCACAATCTTTCCCTTAACCTAACCAAGAAGTGATGGAAGTCAGTTTTATAACAAACTTATTTATTGTAAATCAAACATGATCTATTCTGAAACCTGATCATAACCCATTATAAAACAAGTAACGTCCTGTACAGTATCTCATAACCACTTGTGGAAGTTTCTCGGAGTACCCTTCTCGTTAAAAAAATAATGCTGAAGGGGGTACCTAGTGCTTTAAGTTGTCAAAAAGACCTGGCAAGCTGCCGTGTTTGACATATTGGGAGTGAGAACGTGTTGGTTATATATGCCTCTCATACCTTCCCTTCATGACACTTCTTCTGCATCACCTCTCTCCCTCTCTCTCTCTGCATTGGTAACAAGATGAGGAGTGAAATAAGTTTGTGAGAAGACGTCTTCGGTATGCCAAATTCTCAGTGGAGCAGTCTTTCAGCTGAATCGGTTTTCCATCTACCTCTCATCACTCGTCTCAGTTTTTCCTCTCTCTCCTTTTCCCTCGGCCCAACACACACTACCTCACACACACGCAGTGAGAAAGTAGGCTCAGTCACTCAGCACTCAGCGAGGGTATTGACTGAGTGAAGCACGGGGGCCTCCTGTACCAGGGACACCTTGTCCATCACTGGGGCCTGGCAGACACACTGATGATCTGTTTTTATTAGACATCTCCGTTTCTTCAACTCATAAGCTTCCACACACACACACACACACACACACACACACACACACACACACACACACACACACACACACACACACACACACACACACACACACACACACACACACACACACACACACACACACATTCAAACAGCCTCACTCTATAGATCACCCTTATAACCTAAACTTTGGGGAGAGCACTTTCAACAGGTTAACACATCATGATGTTTTCTCTGTATATATACTCCCTAATAGGGTCTTAACGGCAGCCAAATCAAAACCTGACCTACTCTGGTGAAACTATGTGCTCCGCTGAGGCCGACCCACGTTGTAGCTTGTCAATTGTTGTTACACAAAATCCTCTGAAGACAATGAAAAGGGGAATAATTTTGTAAGAAATAAAGGCTGCTTGAAAGAGAATAACGAGGAGACACAGGAGTGGGAACACATCAGGGATAGTGTGTAGGGCAGGAGGGAGTTGAAGGAAGTTAGCAAAACACAAGATAAAGATAGAAATGGAAGGGGAGGAGGTGTTTCGGCTTTAGCAGCTGGTAAAAGTCAGAAAATAATGAGTAGAAACAGAGAAAGGCAGGCACAGAAAGCCACGAGACAGAAAGAGAGCATTGATGTGTGATGGATTTATTGGAACTGACAAGGTAAGCAGAAAACGTACGAAGCAGAAGGAGAAGATAAGCTTCAGTATGTTTTACATTAGATCTGTGCCATTGCATCATTCACATTTCATACCAAATGTGAAATTCGACAATGAATGTTTTAGGAATGTTTGACGATAGCCAATTAGTTATTTAGATAGAAAGCGAGTTAACACTCAGCACAAATAAAACATAAACACAAACGCACTGACAACATGTTTATGTGTGGAGGCCAGATGTTTCAGCTGGAAGGCAGTATTTATGATGACAGTGTAACAGCAGAACATGCAGACATCTCTACACAATGTCTAAATCCGCAAGTTCAACCTTTTCCACTTAGTTCTGAACACTGTCTGAAGAGTAGGTGAGAGAGATGACGAGACTGTATGTTTTTGGTATGTGCTGAGACCTTTAACAGATGGCGTAGGTGTTATATATAACATTCATGCTGCACCTCTTTGTTTTGACAGGAATGATTGCTGAAGATGGATACTGTCAGGATACTAGGGCATAGTTGTAACCCATGTGTAAGTTTACAAGACATCTAACAAGTCATCTACTGTCAGAAATGTGGGGTCGTATAGTAGTTAAGACGCATTCAGCAGCACTGTCCCAGGTTACATTCAGGCCAGTATTGATACACTGATCATGTTTTTTTACTCCTCGCACATAAAAACCTGTAAAGCCAATCCACAATTCCAGACCTGAAAATATGCCGCAAACTTTGTGTATAACAGTAGCTCCAGTCTGGTTTGATATTTTCTAGTAAGCTAATCGAAACATCCCATCCCTCAGATGGTGGATCGACCCCGACATCCCTCCTGGCCAGGCACCTTTACTGGAAGTCAAACTCCTTTTTTCTAATCCTGCTTCTCATGCGAATATAGCTTTTGTCAGAATTTAGTGAATGCAAAGGAAAAAAGAAAGAAATCAAATAAAACATGTTAATGGTATTTGAACCTGGGGCAATATTCTCGACAGTTGAAGCTCATGGCAATGTCGTCAGTTGTGTAAATCATAGAGTACTCAATAAATTGACATTTTGACTTGATGGTTAAGCTTATAAAATAGGAACTTTGGTGCTCAGAGCAAAAGGAGCATGGGTGGGCCCAAATAGCATTTAAAATGACATTTGATTTCTCTGAGTAATGACCGGCTAAACGCACAAACAAGTCTTTTCACTATTTATTTGGGGACTACATGTGTGTCTCCGCGTCTGTTTTCACTGGTTGTTGACAAGACTGCCAAATATCTGGTTTCCTGTGTACCTGGAGTACCTGGAGTCATTTATATCCCCCCCCCCCCCCCCATGCTATGCACACACAAATGCAAACACACTCAGAACACTGTTTGATGTCTCTTTCTCTTCTTTCTTTCTACCTCTGGATCTCATAAATCACTCAGAAGTAGACACAACTCTTTAAATGACAACGCACAAAAAAAACACATCCACAGCAGACACACACAAACAGAGGTGAGCTAACAGCTTCCATCTGCAGCTTGTTATCACTCCAGCAGCTCATCGCCTCACTGTGGAAAGCACACCACTGTCTCACCTCTCACCAACCCCTCTCTCTCCTGCTGTCAATCCAATCGCCACATATTTTCTGTCTGTTCATTTAACCTCTATATTCTCCATAATGCTCGGTCTCTTCTGTCCATCCATCTTTAACTTCCTCTCTGGTGTTAGTTTGTCTCCCTTGAAGCCGTGTCTAACGATGTCTTCAATTTCGTCTCTCATGCCAGTCCATTCGTCTTCCTGTCTCTCTCCCCTTTGCAGGTAAATATTTCTCTCCTTTTATCCATCTTGTGTCCAAGGAACCCTTACATCTCTGGATCCCCTCACAGCATCCATAGTTAAACTTCTACATCTGTCTCCAATGTGTCTAGTTTCCCTGAGGGCCCAGTCGACGCTTCATGACAAACAGCATCCGTGCCAAACCGATGCGACGCACAGGAGAGCATCTGGTTTCACTGTACGTGTCAAACCTCAGCTATCGCATGGTGCCGTCTCAGCCACATCAAACGTATGTATGCAGTAATTCATTCTGGGATTTGTTTACATTGCACATTTTCCACTTAATCAGGACGAGGCAAGACCGGCTGTCTGTCAAATCTGAGTCAGACGACACGGACCGTAGACCCTTTGTTAGGTCTCTAGCTTATATTAACAAAGCTTAAAAAAGCCTTCAGGTTAAAAGTTTCTAGTGTGATGATGATACTGAGGGCTGCATGTATGCGTGCTCTTGGTAAACTAAAATGGCATTTGGAGAGCGCAGACCTCCAGAAGGGGGAAATAGTGGAGTACAAATACTTCGTTTCTGA